TACGAGTCGACCTTGACTTCGGTTTTGGATTTTCGGAAGTAGAGGACCTTTTTCTCTTTTTTCCCTCCGCCGGTTTAGAAACCGAGTCTGAGGCCTGCACACAATAAAATTAGTTGAATATGTGGAAAATATTTTGTTCAAACTCTCAAAACATGAGAAATAGGCTTACTATAATTTTTTGCCTCCCATCGACACTTTGCCAAATCACGCCACGAACGTTCGGCGTATGTACAGGTCGAAGCCAGGGCCCGTACCTAGCTCTTAAGATTGGGAACGGCACTGGGCATCCAAGGAACTGCTACATCACAAAAGAGTGATCAACGAGAAAGAAACAAAGAGACAAGGCGATAGGGAATAAGCAGCAGAATTACACTTACGCTTCATATTCCATTCTTCGGGAAATGGCATCTTTTCGGCTGGGATCCGGTCCGAAGTCTTCACTCGAACGAACCTGCACATCCAACCTCGATCCTTGTCCTCATCTATGCTCAAGAACAGTACCTTGGTAGCCCGGCGTTGAAATTTTATTAATCCACCTCGAAAGAGGCGGGGACTATACAATCTAATAAGATGATCGAGAGTTAAAGGCATCCCCTCGATCTTGTTTGCAAAGAAACGGATCAGGATAACGATCCGCCAAAAGGAAGGATGAATCTGACCTAGAGTTATTCGGTATTGACGACAAAAATTGATGATAACAGGATCGAGAGGCCCTAACGTAAAAGGGTTAGTATACACACTAAGGAACCCTTCCACGTGGGTGGTAATATCTTCATCGGGATCCGGAATTACTACTTCCTTGTTATCCAGTTGCAATCTGTCTTTAACTGAGCAAGTTATTTGTTGGTTATCGAGCACAAATACCTCGATACTGGCTCACACTGACCGGGAACTAACGAGCCCTTATCGACCTTAAAATCGGAGATGAGAAGACAAGTTCCGGGAACAAACTCATCAAGCAGAGGCTCCATCGGTGTTTTATCGGTGGCGGTTTGTGAAGAAGAAGCCTTTTCTTTTTGAGGGACGGTATTTTATGTTTTCACCATTTTTTGAATTTAGAAGAAAGAAATAAAGAAGATGTGGTGTTTCAATGAAAGATTTCGCAGTAAAAATCACAGAAGGAAAATTTCGCACTTAATTCAGAAGGTATGTGAGAATGCTTAGGAAATTTTGAGATTAGAAGATGTAAAAGTGATTAATGGTGAAAGAAGGAGATATTTATAGGCTAAGCAGTTGCGGTCCAATATCGGTAATGGCCGACCACTGTCTGACACGCATTAAATGCCTTGGTAAACTAAATCGATGGGACAACTTTCGTGTACGTCACGATCGGATTCGATGCACACGTCAGTATATATCTAATCATACCGTTGAAAAATCATATCGTTTCTCGTTACATTCTTTCCGAAAAATGCGGGGACTATCTGTATACGGTCAAAACCGATTAATCCGCCGTACGGACTGGTCGGTATGATAATACTTTGATCGAAGGGCGGCTTCGTAATACCAGGTCGAGGTCCGAAGTCGGGTCATCAAGCTTCGAGTTCTAGGACCGATCAATGACAAACTCGGTATCATTATCGAGCTCGTATCCAAATCGAACTACGGGACGAGGCAAAATTATCGAGCCTAAGATGCATAGACCGACCGACACCGATCCCGAATCAATACCAGACTCCAAGTCAGAATCGAGCTCGAGTCAAGATAGAGAGCTCGAGTCAATATCGAGATCACAGACATGAGCCGTTGCAACCACACTAGGAGAGAGAATCTTGGCAGGAATTATGGAAAAGTTAGTTCTTCATGGGTTTCCCACTATGTATTATTATTATATCTAAAGTAGGATCTCTCCACTATAAAGGGGATGATTGTTGTTTGTGTGAGGGACACATTCACACATTGTAACAAAAGATTATTCCTTATATTGAAAGATCAATCCTTTGAGCTCTCTTACTTCATTTTATTTCCTCTTTTCAATAGTTTTTATCTTTCGTTCTTATAGTCAAGATTGGATATTTCTATTTCTCTTTACGATTTGTATCAAGCTATACCACATACCCTTAGAACTACGTACAAATTCAACTATATCCGACTTTTCGGGTAAACACATGATATGCACTCTTAATTTCTATTTTCTTTCATTTAACTCTAGCAGATACTTCGTAAAAGAGAAATTAGAACTTTAATGTAACTCTTTGAAGAAATTACAAATCAAACATGCATGGCTTAGAAGTAAAAGCACAAGCACTGTATAGATTATCGTGGCATAAACAAAAGGATTCTCAAAAGGAATGTATCGAACAAAACTGTCCCGTCGTGGTATAAATTGATCAACAGATTTCAAGCTTCCAAATAATTTTCAATATACAGAGTATACTAGATTAGACGGAGGATAGTATGTGGATCCATATAATTTAGGAACACAGTTATTCAAATAAGTCAAAAACAATAGGAACTTTTAATGCATGGGATGACATAATATAATAAAATTGTCACGTAATGTTATCTGTAAATGTACATAACTAAGAAAAAAAGATTTGATTTTAATTGGAATGAAAAGAATAGTATTTCTCAATATTTGGTAGTTATTACTATTAGAGAATTTTTTTCATATTCTTCCAAGCATCAACTCGACAGTTGTTGGGAAACATCCTGATAGCCCCCTCCAAAATGTTGTATTCTAAAAAAGAATTGTTGTATTCTTTCCTTTAAAAATTTCTTAGATATCGAACGTAACAAACCTGCAGATTTTCGGGCTGAACCCACGCAGATAATTGTCGGCAATAAGAAAATACTGTATTTGGTGTTTTCGTTTTATTGAAAATTAATTCAAAGGAAAGATCTCTTACGATATTTATTTAATTTAATTAAGGAATCCTGATAGTTATCTGGTCGGTGTATACTTATTTGACATAAGATGTTTTCTCCTTTTGCTCTTCTTTCTATGACATTTTCAATGGATTAGACAACTTATCGCTGTACATCACATACATAATCAAGTTATAACCAAACGAAAAGATTGAATATAGATTTTATGGGTTCAGTATTTAAGATTTTTAGTATTGAACTCATCATATTTTCAAAGTTATGGGTTCATATTCACTATTTCTTACAATTTCAGTAATTTTTTATCCATAAATTCATACCCTGCCTCGAAAGTTATCGGTTCAGTTGAAGATATAGTGCTAGATACGCGCCTTCCTAAAGTAGTTTGTATGATGTTACACTCTAATATATATGATACTATGCCATAGTTCAAACAAACCTCGATTATTTTTCGATAATTAGAATATGTAAAGAAAGAACTCAAAAGGAAGTTTGTTTGACGTTGAAACACACTACTAGAAATTCGTCAAAAATTGACCAAGGTCGACCGATCAACTTTGGTCGGACAAAAAATCGACCAAAAAACCGATTAAAGTTGGTCGGTTTTTCAAAATATTTTATTTTACGAAACCGACCAACTTTGGTCGGTTTCCTTTGGCGAAAAAATGCAAGAAACTAGTTTTGAGTCCCGCAAAATTTATTTTTCAAGAAACCGATCAACTTTGGTCGGTTTTTTAATTAAAATAAATAAAAATTAATATTAAAAAAATGACCAACTTTGGTCGGTAATTTTACTTTTTAATAAAACTGACCAACTTTGGTCGGTTATTTTCGTGCGAAAATACAATTAAAGAGTATAAATCAAATAAAAGACAGTCTTAAAACAAAATGTACCAATGATCTAGTGGTAGAATAGTATCATGCCACATTACAGATCCCGATTCGATTCCCAGATGGTGAATTTTTTTATTACATAATTAAAATACCGACCAATTTTGGTTTTTTTTTTTT